AATATATAAAGTAAATATTCAGAGAAACTAATGAATAGCTACGACTATTTTTTTTCTCCAAAATGTGTGTTTTACGGTGCTTTATAAGAATATAAAAAAAASCCCGCTCAAACTTCGTTTTGAAGTTATTGACGAAAAACTTCAAAAACTTCATTTTTTTCGTCACGCGCATTTAAAAAAAATACTTACAATTGAATATTTAAAATTTTTTTTTTAATGTGTAGTTTTTAGCGTTTAATAAATTGGTAAAATCAAAACTTAACTAAAATACCTACTTTTGAAGTTTTTACACGTATAAATTGGAAAACACAATTTTCAAGATTCATAATAAATGTTTTCTAAAATTAGCTAAAAATCGGTTTGTTTAATATTTTTATTTTTTTACTACGTAAAGTTTTTGATGAAAAAGTTTTTAGTGAAGTCAGAATTGTGCTATCTAGCTTAGTTTTAGAGTTACAGGTATTAAGAGTTTACAGTGTTTTACAGTCCTGGGGCCTTATTGCAAAAAAAAATATTATTAAGTGTAATAAAGACCACTTTTTAGAATTTTGTCCTAGCACAGCTTATTGTGACGGTGTCGTTTGGCGATGTAAACAAACCTATGTGAACAGTAGTAAAAAGAAATTTAAGTACAATTTTTACCAATCAATCCGAAAGTCCACTTTTTTTTCAAACTCCCACTTGTCAATATTTTAAATTTTGACATTCGCGTATTTGTGGACCGAAAAAGTGTCCCTCGAATTTATTCGGAAGCAACTGAAAATAGCTCGGCAATCATCTGTCGATTGGGCCCCATTTCTCCGAGAAGTCTTATTTGACGGTATGATACTATAAAACACTGTAAACTCTTAATACCTGTAACTCTAAAACTAAGCTAGATAGCACAATTCTGACTTCACTAAAAACTTTTTCATCAAAAACTTTACGTAGTAAAAAAATAAAAATATTAAACAAACCGATTTTTAGCTAATTTTAGAAAACATTTATTATGAATCTTGAAAATTGTGTTTTCCAATTTATACGTGTAAAAACTTCAAAAGAAGGTATTTCAGTTAAGTTTTGATTTTACCAATTTATTAAACGCTAAAAACTACACATTAAAAAAAAAAAATTAAAAATATTCAATATTTTTTTTTATAAATGCGCGTGACGAAAAAAATGAAATTTTTGAAGTTTTTCGTCAATAACTTCAAAACGAAGTTTGAGAGGGTTTTTTTGTTATATTCTTATAAAGCACCGTAAAACACACATTTTGGAAAAAAAAATTTTTAAAAATCGATAGGTTGCTAAACTAGAATCGTTCAGCTTCTCAATAATTCTCGATCAAATCGTTTTCACGTCCACACGTCGTTCGAGAGTGCGAAAAATGTTGTGCCGTTAGACGACATTCCGACGAAACTAGTCTTGCAAGTTACAACGGATGTATTCCGAGAAGTTATTAATAGCCAAGAGAAGCGCTTCAAGATATCTATGTATTTAATTCACAGTTTCACTGCAGGGACGCTTCTACACGACCGTTATTAAGGATTTAAGAATTTAACGTAGTTGTATATACTGTAGTGAGTGTAGTTGTATTTGATAAGTTTGTAGAGTCCAAAAAAAACCTTAATTCACACGATCACCAAATCTTTTAATGTCGGAATCACTCTATCTCATATTATAAGAGTAACCTCAGACGGCAGGCTTCTATGTAGGTACGACTGCGACGATCGTCGTTGCTAACCTGCGTGCTTCCGAATATCATGCTACTGCGTAGTCGATACGAAAATAGTAGTAGTAAATACCTAAGACAAAATTCAACAACACCCGATTTGTCGAAAATCTATCGTCTCTTGAAATTACTTTTATTTGAGACAGAATTTAGACTTAACGAATCTACAACCTACATCAAAATTCAAAATTCAAAATTTGGATAAATGCAGAACTTAAGCATTGGTACAATATTATGCTAATTATAAGAGATTCGTAAATAATTAGTACGTTTGAGTAATAAACATAACAACCAGAGATGAATGGGTTAGAAAGGGCAGAAGTGATAACATTGTCATTTGCAATCTTGTAAAACACATTTTTTTTAAATACTTAAGTGCAGATACACTTATTTTGTAAGGAATTTAAAATATGTGTTTGAATATTCAGTTAAGAAAGAATTTGAGTATGAATACAAATACTTTTGTACTTTATACAAGTAATTTTAAAATTATAAAATATATATATATATAATATCCCATGCAATATAATATATTAGATACTTATAAACACCTACTTTTGTATTTTTATAAATACATTTTGTTGCCTTATAAAACAACAGAACCAATTTTCATGTTTTTTTTTTTATATACTAGCTTTTTGTAGTATAAAAATTATAGCTCGACAATTATAAAAATAACGATTATTCAAACATAACATTTTAAAATTGCTTAATGATGAGGACATGATGACCAAATTTTGAAAGGCCGACAATATCTAATATCTTCGTGTGCAGTGGTTAGATGGAGATTTCGTATAACTACGCGTAGCGAGCAGTGAACAACGGGCCGATAAGAGTGATAGCTATAATTATTCTCCTCTAAATGTGTTAACAACAGATTGGAGTGTACAACTAAATGTGTGTTGATGATGAGATTGGAGGGCTTAGACTTACAGATAAAATCTGCAGAGTTGAGTTTAGTCATAAAGCTGGAAATATTGCCAACATTTTTTATGTAAACATGAGGTGAATTGATTTGTCGTCGCTGTTGCGGATTAAGACGTTGAAACCGGATAAATTCTCGTCGGCGTCGTCACGGTTAGCAAGAACAGAAAACCGATTTGGACTGGTGAATTACTTAGTTTTCAACAAACCTCTGGCGAGAGAAAAKATGTAGRAAAATGTCTCTTKTTCGAGATGTTCGTATTTTTAGAAGAAATCACGATAGATTGAGGTGACATAATACTTGATCATTAAAAATTACTAACGAAACCGTAAAGGAGG